TGCTGAGGTTAGATATCATGTTTGAAGAACTATTAAATGTCTTAGAAATATGCAATTCAATCCAAATACAGAAATGTGTTTCTTAAGTATATAAAGTCAACTTTGGAGGGTAAATCTAAAGCCGTCACATTTTTATTGGAAATGCATTTTTTCCACACCAGACTCAATATTCAAGCAATTCCTCTCATTGTGGGACAGACCCACTTGTTTTTAACAATATGATATAATAGAGTTTGTCGAAGCCAGCACACATTAGATATTTGCTTAAAGACAATCACTTTTTGAGAGAAAAGTACCATTTTAAAATATATTTTGGTAAACAGATCAGCATGGTGAAATTGCCATCTGTTAGCATATTTTGGCTTCTCATTATACGCTCAAATGTCAGCAGTAGAGCCATTTGCGAATGTGTTTATTTGCCCTAAACAGCCAATTTACTGACAGTACACCTGCTTTCTGTGAGATAACTGGAAACATTTGCACCAATCATGTGCTTGGAGCAAAAATATTCAGCTTGTGCCAACGAGTCTCAGCTTCACTTTGTCCAAACCTGGACAGACACAGATTTGTTTTTTAAAAATTTTTTAATCTAGTTGCATCTAAAGTTCTCCTTTTGTCTTAGCACACAGACATCCACATACATGCCAACCAAAACACACAATCAAGCCCAATCACAAGCACAACAACACACAGGTCTGGTCTCACCTGTTGGGTTTGGGGAACAAGATGGAAGTGTCGGGTTTGCGTATGAAATACTCATCAGCTGCTTTGCTGATGGTGATGATCTTTTTCTCCCGGCGGGGCACAGTCTCCAGGGACAGGGGCGTCTCCACTTTTGGCCGCAGCATGCCCAGGTAAGGAGGCAACAGGTGGATGAAGATCTGAAAAGGAAGGTAGAAGGTAAAGAGGAATGTGTTACTTGCAGAAAGAACAGTTTGCTTCTCTGCTCCTCTACGTCCTGTATGCAGACAGAAGCGGGTTAATTAAGCAGGTGAGTTGACAAAATATAAATATTAAAGCAGATTTATAATTTTATGAATGTACAAATGTGTATTTCTTTGCCTGGAAATAGAAAACAGGAGTTTATCCAACTGTACTTTACTCTTTTAGTCAATATGTTGTTGGCTCGCCGAGACCTCACGGATCCATCGTCGCTGCTGGTATGAAAAATCCATTTGTTTGGATTCTTGTTTCATGATTTATGGGACAGCTGAAATGCACCTACCCTGTATTTGCCTATTAGGCTTGAGAAATGAGTCCAAATGTTGAATTTCGCAGTGAGATAACCTTTGAGAACAGTTGCTGCTGAATGATATGGGTGGAGGAACCAAATGCTTTCCAATTCCTCAAAGTCTACTCTCAAGGTGTCCTTGGACAAAGCACATAACTCTGGATGCTCCAGTGGAGCACTTTGCTAAAGGACTATAGCTGTACTGGGCACCTCCCAAATGTGTGTAATTAAAATAGAAATAAATGTTTCACATAACCTGATAAAAAGGAAGTCAATCTTTTATCAGATGGGAGTCCTTGGCTGTCAGGCTCAGAGCTCAGAACATCAAAAGAGTCAATGATAAACCAGCACATCAGTGGGTCAAATGATGGTATTGATCAATACCATAAATGCTGTAAATGGCTCCGTTATCTGCTCTTTGAAGTGCTTTGATATCCTTTTAAAAAAAAGAAAAAAAGAAAAAATCTTGGCTTGCCTGTATTGACAGATGGATGTCAATAATAGCCCTGGCAGGAAGCACTGTGGCAACAAGTGAAGAGTGAATTTAGGTGAAGCAGCCTGACTTAATTTAATTATGAGCTAATTAAGAGCCAAATGCACTATGTCCATGTCCCTAAATGACATCCTCTGACCTTTTGCTTCACAGCTCTCTATGACAACTATAATAGCCGGTGTAGTCACAATGGCATGACCACGGCAGCAGCCAATGAGGCAACACTGGAGCTATGAGCGGTGATGGACGGCCTTTTTTTTTTTTGGGGTGTCATGCAACATCAGCTGTACTGTTTAGGTTCACTCTCACTGCTCTCACAGCAGCAGCAGCAGCAGCACAGTCCCAGCCAGTGAGTAGCTGGTGGACACAGTAGAGCATTTAGAAGCTAAAGAGTCGGCTATTTGGTATTGTTAGAGATCAAGACAGAGCTACAAGAGAGTGACTTTTGGGGATGATATTTCTCTGGAACTGGAGGAGAATCAGCAACAATAATGGACAGAAACAATAAACAACTTGTGTTTGCTGCCCCCAACTGGCCAAAAATGCTAACACAGCAAATTCATTTCCTTCCTCAGTTGCATTTTTTTTGGAATATCATAAATTAAGACTACACAGTGGCACTAAAATCTGTTATTGACTAGTATTACAAACTAGTTAATGCTATAGATGCTGCGGTGTGTGCCACTGGCTCAGCTACAGCTATCAAAATAAACACTGTGCGATTAAAAAACTTCACGTTGGGGCCTTTAAGTGGGTTCAATTTTAGCTTCAAATAAATGAACGGGGTCATAAAAGCCACTGGAGACACTGACACTTTGCTCCTTGTTCCTGGGAATTTAGGTTTTTCAGCAAAGGAAGAAAAGTTTTAAGACTAATATATATGCATAATGCAACTGACTAATGTTAGGCCAATAATAAATACATGAAGAGCAGCTTTTCTTTTTTAACCAAAATGATACTTTTAGAGATGTAGAAAGCTTTGAAGCAGAATTTATCATTTCAAGCTGTGGGGAAAATACTTTTCATCAAATATTTAACAGTGTAAACTAAATTATTTCTACATTAACTGTTACTTAACAAAATGAACTTATCCTAATGTGTTGACAAATAGGTCAGAAGTATTCCCTTCCTCTTAAAACATGTGCAAAGCCTTTATATTTTCTTGTTTCTAGAGCGCCAAGTTTCACATTTGTGCTCATAAAAAGATCCATATTGTGAATAATTTCATAACAGAGACAGACGAGTTCAAAGTGATTAATAACAGCAGCAGGACCTCCATCTTTTATTTCAAGCCTCCATTCTAGTTTTAACATTCACCCAGTTTTTCTCTTATTGATCCTATGTGGCATCTGTTAGATTTCTCCCCTCTCAGTACATGATAAACCAGAATATAAGAGAGGAAACTGCACCCCGGAGAGCACTTCTTCATCTACAAATACATTATTCTTGGAAGACGGCTGCTGTAATTCAGCCGCCGTTCAGCCTCTGCGCCGCTCCGGCACGACCACAGCTTCACAACACAGAGACGTGAGCGACCAAAGCACCGCGAGGGCCGAGCCGAAGCAGCTCAGAGACGAGGCGGTGGAACAGGAGGAGGAGCCGAAAGCCACTAAGTCTGCAACTCATAGGACACAAAGTAGGAAGACCTGAGGAGACAGAACTCAGCCCCGACAGAGGGCCATGGCCATCTGAGGAGGAAGAAAATGAGGCAGCCATCAGGACGGAGGAGGGAGATGATGAGATGTCTGTCTAGAGAGTGAACGCTGATGGCCCAAAAGGTTTCTGTTGCTGTGGACTACTCTGGGAGAGGAACATATGGACAATTTGAAGTCAGGCATTGAAAATAAATAGAAGCCAGCACATCTAAGAGAGTCTAATGCTTCAGATTTAACAGCTAATAGATGATAAATGAATAGGTGTTTGCATGTATAAGAACGATTAGAAAACGGGTGGTACGGGGAATTAAATTTGCCCTTTACAGTGATTTTTGTTGCTGGAACTAGAAGACTGACACTTGCTTATTTCCTGATTCAAAATGACAAAGATATCAAGTTTAATCAGAGATGAGCAACACTCTAACATATTGTTATGGAGCACAAAACTAATCTGTGAGTAGTTAGATGTTCAGCTGTGCTTCATTTTGCCTGCTCACATAAATTCAACTCATCAGATGGGATGTAAGGATTAATTTGAAAACAGGTGGACTAAATGCCCAGCTGGGAAGGAGCCATTAAAGCGTTTTTAAGTGCAATAAAAGAATGCTAAAGGAAGAACAGTCATTAGTGCCATCACCTGTGGGAATATAATTGTTTTATTATTAAAGTTACATTGATGAATGTAGCTTTGTCAGGTTTCATTATGAGATTTTATTTAGATTGGGTTCCTTGGGGCGGTCTATAAACTGCTGCACTGGAAATAATATACTGTAAAGTGCATCTTTATTGTTTCCTGATCCTGTTTATTTAGATTTTGAAGTAATATACAGGAAACATAAAACAAATCAGCAACCAGGAGAGCAAAATACCTCAAAGCTGCTTCCTTTGCATTTGCTTTGGTCACCTGAGGACACCATCCATCCATCATCTATACATCGCTTCATCCTCACTAGGGTCATGGGGGGCTGGAGTCTATCCCAGCTGACTTAGGGTGAAGGCAGGAGACACCCTGGACAGGTCACCAGTCTATCACAGGGCTACACTTAGAGACAGACAACCAAGCACACTCACATTCACACCTACAGACAATTTAGAATCACCAATTAACATGTTTTTGGACTGTGTGGGAGGAAGCTGGAGAACCCAAAGAGAACCCACACTGCACATGCAAACTCTTCACAGAGAGATCCTGGATGTCCTCACTGGGATGCGAGCCGGCGACCTTCTTGCTGCGAGGCAACAGTGCTAACCACCTAGCCACCTTGCAGCCCTACCTGAGGACACCTGTAAACACAATAATTAAATATTTTCTCCCTGCAAACTGGAAATGGCGACATGTTTCCAAAAAGGTAGCCTGTTTACACACTCAGAAAATGCAGAAAAGCAATTATTTGTTGTTATATTTCTGGCCACAATTCCGATGTTCACTCTTCTTTTAGGTTTGTTCTGATTTCCACTGATGGGCTGCAAGGTGGCTCGGTGGTTAGCAACGTTTCCTCGCAGCAAGAAGGCCGCCAGTTTGCGTCCCAGTGAGGACACCCAGGATCGTTATGCATGGAGTTTACATGTTCTCCCCGTGCAGCGTGGGTTCTCTCCAGGTTCTCCGGCTTCCTCCCACAAGGTCCAAAAACATGTTGAGGTTAATTGGTGATTCTAAATTGTCCGTAGGTGTGAATGTGAGTGTGCTTGGTTGTCTGTCTCTAAGTGTGGCCCTGTGATAGACTGGTGACCTGTCCAGGGTGTCCCCTGCCTTCACTCTAAGTCAGCTGAGATAGACTCCAGTCCCCCTAGTGAGAATTAAGCGGTGTATTGATAATGGATGGATGGATGAATGGATGGATGGATGATTTCCACTGAATAATGAGTATTTCGTGGCTAAATATTCACTAAGCAGCCGCTAACTTTATCTTTTTTCTGTCTTGCGTGAAGCAGTCTATCAAAGGTTTGTTTTTGAGAACAGCTGCTAACTGATGCTGATATGAACTATAAAAATTAAATAAGCAGTTGAATTGCAGGCTGCAAAAACAAAACCAGTGAGCAAAAAAAATGCTAAATCACCCCTTACAGTTGAGGACAACCTCAAAGATGCTGGATTTGTGACCTCTTTACACATCAGACTTCATCATATGATCCATTATTAGCATAAGAATATTTATTGGTGCGGCTGTAAAGAAGGCAGCGTAGCATCACTGCCGCTTTTGAAATCATGAAAAAAAAAAAACACACCAAAACAACCATAAATTTCCCTCGACTAATGTTCCGTGGGCAAAACTTCCCCCTGCCTCACATTTCACGACCGACACTGATCGTCTTGAGAGCGGGAGGGAAAAGAAGCAGAACCTATAATGCCCGCTTCCTCCCATCAATCCAGCATCAAGCAGCTCGGTTCCATTAAACCGAATGCAAATCACCTGCATTTACACGAGCCTTTCTGAGGTGAACGCTCCCTTAAAACCGTGACAGAACAAAGTCCAGCGCTGCCGCTTTTTTTACGCCTGTAATTAGCTTCACATAATGTACAGAAAGGGCAGCAGCCACTGATGGAGGTTAATGGTATAACATGACATTTAGAGTGTCGGGGACGGTGTCGACTTAATTCAGTGGTCCGCCTCAACCCAAACTACTACTGCTGCCTCCATTACTGAATTAACACCAAAAATTAACATCACATTGATTAATTATTGCAAGGCCACAATATACTAATGGATGGTTTGCCTGAATGTAATTAGTTTTACATGTATTTCTATTAAAATCACAGCCTCATTTGCATCATGTGCACAGTTCTGTGTCCAGAAAATGTGCAAAAGCTTTCACTCATTTATCGTAGCTGGTTAATCTAGTTTGTCTATTTAGTTTCCATTGTGTAGTCAGCTTATATCATAAAGATGAATATGTGAGGTAAAAGCATCTACACCCCAATCTCCCCCGTCCTTCCCCCCTCCAGGTCTCTCTGAGGACACACTGGCAGCTTAATGACATCGCTTTGACATCAAGCCTCCCTTTGATACAAACTGCAGAGAAAATGAAGGCCGACATCTTCAGCAGCTGGTTTTCTGCTTAATGTTCCAACAACTGAGAAGAAGCATATTGTTCTGAAATATGACACAGACAAATCTGAAGAGGAAAAACTCATAGACTGTATAAAAGATGGACGTAGCTACCGTGACGTCACCCGTTGGTTTCTGCACTGGAGAAAATGAAGCCAGGGTTTTGCTACTTCCTGGTTGACATCTTGGATTTTTGGAGCCAGTGACGCAAAAATCGTCGGAGGGGGGGCGGAGCCAAAGGAGCAGCGATTGGTCAGACGGATTGAGAGGCGGGCCCTCTCTGCCCGCCCACATCTACCACCTTCTGCTCCCTTCGTCTGTATTGCCGATGCCGACTGTCAATCAAGCCAGCCACGCCCCTTGCCCCGCAAAATGTTGACGATTTTTTGAAAATTCAGTATTCATTTATTTTCAGATTGGCCACCTGATCTCTGGATTTGACCATGAAAACTAATACGAAAAAAATCCTGAGCTGTAGGAATGCGGTATTTCCAATTCAAGTCTATGGGAGCCAGGGCTTTTTGGAGCCAGGACTAGTGGACGTAGTGATATTGCAGGTTTTTGACGCTTCTGGGTTGGCTTCATTTTTCAGGGCCGGTTGCTTCGTCCATCTTTTATACAGTCTGTGGGAAAAACAAGTCTATACCAGAGAGAGTCGTTCTTATGAAATCTGCTAAACTGTGCCAAACCATCAAATATGTCACTGTTTGTACAGCCATGCAGCCAGTCAAATCATTCACTGATTCACATTATAGCAACCAGCATGTGTACAGCTGTAACATATATGGCGCTCACCATGCGGACCCACATGGGCATCATGTGGGTGTTGGGCGAGCGGTGGTGGAGGTTGAGCACGACCACGCTGAGGATGACGGAGAACGTGACGAGGATCATGGTGAACATGATGTAGTTGACGATGATGGGGACGCCCAGCGAGGTCTCGGGGATCTTATCGGCCAGCAGCAAGAGGAACACGGTGAGGGTGAGCAGCACGTTGATCGACAGACCCATCTTCTCACCTGGCAGCGAGAGGTGGGGAAAAGAAAACAGCTTTATTTAGGAACTTAACAATTGCGACACGTTCCTTCGGGCTCGTGTTCCGGCTCATTGAGGTTTGAGGTTTTCCTCCTCCTTCGACTGACTGAGATTTTAGCAGCATCTGGCCCATGTAATTCACCGGTAATGATGCTAATGGGAAATTCATCTCCCATTCTAAGTGAGGTTGATTGGCCGACAGAGCACAGCCTCCCTGGTGCATTCAGTGGTCACTTACAAAACTGTGTTTACCTCAGATTGGCTAGAGCGGGTAGACGGGGATGTGTGCTGAGAGCATTGCGGACTCCCTCAAACCGCATTACAGGAAGGTTAACGTCAGATTGTGAAATGTAAATTCCATTTCCCGAATCAAACTCCCCGCAGGTCTCCGTGTGTCCTTTTATTGTGAGCTGAAATTAGACATCACATCAATTCAATCATCCACAGGAGCAGCAGACCTCAAAGGAACAAATAATACGCCCAGAGAATGATTACTTAACGAATCAATATAAACCAGGCTATTAGAGGAAAATAATGTTCAGACCATGTAAGTGTAGGAAATAAAGCGCAATGTCGGGCTGATTACTCTCAGCACCTGGCTTGTATTTCTACCGCTGCCATTTTTGAGGTTATCGATTCAGCCGCGCTCCTGGAAGCAAGTATCTAATCTGAAATTGAATCCCTTTGTAATTGGATAAATGTTTGATTGGCTCATTTAAAGAAACCCCCAAAAACACAATTAGAAAATAGTATTAGAAGATTAAGAGACATGGCAGTGTCATCCTCACCAACATCTATCTAGAT